TAACAGTGATCCCCCTGTCCTGGAGGTATCCAACACCCACCAAGTTCCGAGTGAACGAGGGGATGTGGAGGCCACGCAAGACACCAGAGGGGACCACATGGCACGGGAGGGTGGTGGAGCTGCGCGCAACGGCTGGTCCTGAAGAAGGATCAGCCAAAGCTACCGGAACCGGAGCAATAAGTGGTGTGAGGGTCGTGTGGTCGCGGAAGAAACACTGCGACGCGCCAGAGTCCAGCGTGAACGACAGAGACGCCTCAGCCGGAGGCGTGTCAGGTCCGGAGGCTACACAAGCACCTAGAGCAGAAACACAAGCACCTAGACTAGAGAGGCACAGGTCTACACTAACAGGAGGCAAGCATCCTAGACTACGAACACGCGAGCACACAAATCCATCAGCACTATAGTCAACATCAGCATACAAAGCATACTGACGAGCATCGTCCATAGACAGTTCAAATACAGGAATCTTACGGGCTAGCAGGCGAGCCCAGCGCGGGGTGGTCGCCTCAGGACCCCAGCGTGCACGGTAGAGGTCGTCGAGGCGGCGGAAGCACCGCGCTGCAGAGTGGTCGTCGCGGCCGCAGACACAGGGACTGCCAGGTCCGGTGACGCACCAGTGGTCGCAGGGGCCGGTGTCGCGCCGCGGGGGGCGAGGGGCCCAGCTGGTAGTGCTGCTGCTGCGGCCAGTGCTCCTGGGTCCTCCAGGTCCCCACTGTGGCGGAGGGCCCCAGTGCTGCTGCGGACCCCACTGCAGTGGGGGTCCCCACGTCTGAAACTGCTGTGGTGCCTGCCACTGCTGCTGTCCCTGGTGCAGCTGCTGTCTCTGCTGTGGCTGCTGCTGCTGTGGCTGCTGCTGCTGGGGCCCCGCACCACCGCTGGTCGAACCTCCTCCAGCAGGTGGGTCAGCACCTCCTCCAGAGCTCCCTCCGCCTGGGGCAACACCGCCACCACTGCCGCCCCCAGGGCCGCCTCCACCACCGCCACCTCCTCCACCGCCGCCACCCCCCTTCCCCCCTTTCTTGCCCCCCTTGCCCCGTTTCTGCCTGTCAGCGGCAGAAACAGCTGCAGTGTCCTCAGAAACCGACACAGCAGCAGAGGCACGTGTAGCAGTGAAGGTAGGAAGCTGGGGGACAGCACACCCCTCAAACAAACGAGGGGCAACTGCGTCAGTGGCTGAGGCAACAGAGAGGAGGTTACTCTCGATCTTCCCGAGAGTGGTCTCGAGAAGATCAATCGTAAGCTCACTGGGGTGATGCTGGAGAAGTGCGTCACGGGCAGTGGAGAGGCGGTCAGGGAGACGAGTGACTACCCAGTGGACTGTGAGCCAAATAGGAGGAGGAGCAACAAGAAGCTGAGCCTCAGTGCAAGCTGCTCGGTAGCTAGCGACAAGGGAGCGAAAGTGTGTGGCTAGGTCAGAGACAGTCGCAAAAGAGTCGAGGTCGGGAAACACGAACGGCATGAGGATGCGGCTGAGGGAGGCAGAGGAAGGGGTGGAATAGCGTGCAGAAATAGCATCATACACCTCCTTCGCAGTCTCTACCAGGTCGAAGTGAGCGGCCTCAGTCGGTGGAAGGAGCTCGGTCAGCGCGAGTGCAGCCGCAGCGTCACGGGAGTCCCAAACGTCCCGCGCCAAGACGAGACGAGCGTAGTCCGCCTGTGCCTCCGGAGTCGGGGGGGGCACGGCAGGGAGGGGCTCGGGACGCGGTGGTGCCTGGAGGGCGCCGGACGCGTGGGCGTACAGGGTGGCGCCGTCCTGGCGCTGACTGGTGAGATAGCGCTGAGTCTGGCGGAGCCAGGTGCCGAACTCTATCGGGCGCCCCTCTGCATCGAAACGAAGGCGGCGGGAGGAGTCCATATTGGACGCTAGGCTAGGAACAGCTGGAGCACGGAGCAAACGGAGCTAGGAGCGAGGAGCGCCAGGTGGGACTAGGCGAGGTACTGCTGGAGCACGGAGGAAAACTGAGCTAGGAACGCCAGTCTAGTAACGAACGGAGCTGGGAGTTAGCTGACCTAGGAGCACACGGCTGGAGGAGGCAGGGCTGACGAGCCGATCGAGGAGCCAGAGGGTCGTTCGAGGGGCTGGCGGAGCGAGGAGAGACCTAGCTAACAACGAACGTCAGGACTAGCCTAAACAGCTAAGCGGAGCGGCCTCCAGCCGCGACGGTGCGAAACACTGTGAGTATGAGTGACGCGAGTGTCGAACCAACGGAGGTCGGGTGGTCCTGGGTGGTGTGCGCGCGTGATAAGGGGATGTGAGCGTTTGGAAGGGGCTCTGAGCGGTTGGAAGGGGCTGTGAGCGGTTGGAAGGGGCTGTGAGCGGTTGGAAGGGGCTGTGAGCGGTTGGAAGGGGCTGTGAGCGGTTGAAAGGGGCTGTGGGCGGGTGGGAGGGGCTAGCTGGCGCCAGCTGCTGGCGGCTAGGTTCCGGTGGCTAGCTGCTGCTGGCGGCTAGCTTCTGCCTAGCCGTGCTGCTGCTGCCTAGCCGTGCTGCTGCTGCAATGCACACGTTGCTGCCTAGCCGTGCTGCTGCTGCAATGCACGCGCTGCTGCCTAGCCGTGCTGCTGCTGCAATGCACGCGGTGCTGCCTAGCCGTGCTGCTGCAGCAAAGCACGCGCTGCTGCTGCAATGCGCGTGCTGCAGTGGCGTGCGCGGCTGCCGCTGGCTAACGCGCGCGCTGCTGCGGGCTAAGAACGACTACGCGGGCCCGCGGGGGGGGGGGGGGGGGGGGGGGGGGAGAGTCCCTTCTGGAGCGCGACGAAACGAGGGGCCAGTGGGGCCCTGTAAACGCAACGAAAAACGAGGCCCGCGGGGGGCCTTAAACGCGACGAAAACGAGGCCCGTGGGGGCCGTCCTACCCGCGACGAAACGGGGCCTAAGGGACGGGCGCCTCGGGACCGGCTAAGGGAGGGAGCGGAAGCGTGGGAGGGAGTAAAAAAAACCTACTCTAATACCATCTTAAGATAGGCTAGGAGACAAGTGTCGAGAGTAATCTTTGAGTAAGGAGAGACAAGCAGATACAAATGTCGACCTAAAGTGTTGTACCCTTTAGAGGGCAACTCACTGTAGCCTATCTAACAATATATAGAATATATAAACATTTGACATCCACCTCCTGCCTCTGGCCTACAGACAGAGGAGGGCACGGCAACAAGACCCAGGGCAACATCCACCGAGACTCCTGCGAATCAACCTGCAAACTTCGACCAGAGCATGATGGAGAAATTCTTCTCCTTCATGTCTTTCTATGAGCAACATCAGCAATCGGCACCTGCGCAGTCACACAACAGCAACAACAACGGAGCAACTCCCATGAGTCTCGACGGCTCATCATACGCACGAGGAAATCAACAGCAGCAGCCTACCTTTGCTCCGTACGAGCGCGGGTCCATCAGCTTCATGCCACACCCGCAGCCCTCACCTGGACAAGAAAAGTCACTGGACGCACTACAAGTTCAGTCGCAGTTCGCGCACGTCCTGAAGATGCAGACGTTAAGGCCTTTCGATGGAAAGGATTTCTTCACCTGGTCGTTTGAATTCGAAAAAATGATGGAAGGCGCGCAGATACTTGGCTTCTTCGACGGATCCCTGCCATACCCAACAAACGGCACACAGTATGAGAAGCAGCAGTACACCTATCAGTCGATGATGGCGTACACGATTCTACTGAGGAACATCACCCCAACTCAACAGCAGAACATACGGTCTTACCGGGGTTACGGCAACTCCGCGGAGCTCGCGTACAACCACTTGAAGAGCCTGTATCAAGCAACAGACAGCGTAAATCAAAGTCGGTTAATGGCGCAACTGACAACGGTCGAAATGAAACCAGGCGAGAAAGGAATGGCGTATATCAGCCGATGTCGCGAGTTGCGCGACAAGCTTCTGCGATGCGGGGGGTCGATTTCTGAAGACGCCTTCGTGACAGTCATCATCGGTGGTCTCGGTCCTCAATGGCGCGCCACAAAGGCCATTCTCCGAGCCCACAGAAGAATCTCCGAAGCAGCACTCTGTGCCGAAATCCATGCCGAGCAGCAAGACATGGACCTGCAAGAAGAACGACACAAGAAGAAGATATCAGCACCGGAATTTGCGTTCCACACTCAGCGACGCTACAACAACTACAAACAACAACAACCGAAGTCCGTACCTCCTTTCTGCCACATCTGCAAGACGTCAGGGCACCCGCGCACACACTGCCCGAATCGACAACAGTCAACTCCACCGCAACGGCAGCTTCGACCCTCAAGCAGCCAAGTGGCATCGACGCAGGCGAACCCCACGAGTCAGTCGCAACCGTCAACAACACCACCTGCACAAGGAGCAAGGAATATCGTCAGTTGCATGGCAAAATTGACCGAGTCCTGCATCACGGAGTCACCGCCACACTACTCACCGGAAGAACAACTTGACAACACCACACCTCGCCGCGAGTCACTTCAACCGAATCCAACGTACGCAGCCATCGCCCAGAGCGAGCCATCCGGGAAAGACACTTGGTTCTTGGACAGTTGCTGCGGACAACACATGTGTTCTTCGGGACGCTTCGTGCAGCGAGAGTATCAACTTCAACACGAAGTAGTCATCACCGTCGCCAATAATCAAAACCTGCGCACACGACGACAAGGCGTGGTACAACTTCAATCACGAGAGACAAATGTCGTTCTACAGATGTCTAAGGTTTTAATCGCAGAAGCCTCGGCTACAACTTACTGAGCGTCAGTCAGTTGATGGCGAAGGGCATTCACCTTGAGGCAGACAGCACCACCCAGGAGTTCAAGCTGTACCACGGGAAGGGTGGCCTCTACATCGGAAAGGCGATCCTAAAAAACAACGTCTTCGTTCTTGATTTTGTCCAAGATCTCGGCACAGCAGACAGCGACGGCATCGTCACCTTCACCTCCTGGACCCACCCTCCAGACCTTGATCCAAACTTCAGTCCAGAAGGCTTCTGGTATTCACACACCATTCCTGAGGCAGAAAGAACAAGGGCGTTAGCAACAATTCAGACAACATCAGTAGCAGCAGAGACAACATCGGGAGCAGCAGAGACAAAATCAGCAGCAGCAGAGACAACATCGGGAGCAGCAGAGACAACATCGGCGGCAGCAGAGACAACATCGGCAGTAGCAGAACCGTCAACGGCAGCAGCAGGAACGTCAACACCAATCGCTGGCCCTTCAACGGCACCGCTCCTCGTCGACGACACACCACCGACACCCGCGCAACAACTACAACCAGCACCACGAGAAGTTCATCGAAGCGCCAACTTCACCGCCAGCCTCTACTCCAACTCCGACCTGTACCGACGATCACCCGGACATCGCGCCGACGAAAGCACCTGGCACGCAAGGATGGGACACCCAAGCAACACAATATTAAATAATACGATAAGAGCAGGAGTACTCGACAAGGACTCACTACTACTGACCGATGGAAGAGAACTTCAACGAGTACGTGGAACGTGCTTCACCTGCCCTGAAGCTGACTTACCGCATCGACCGTTCGCGTCTCATCATAACCCAAGCGCACCAGCTTACGCGCCACTCGAGAAAGTGTACAGCGACATCCTGTACAATCGCGAGCCGGGGCAGAACGCGTACAATTACACCATCACGTTCATCGACGCCGCGACACGTTACGTTTGGCACATGAATCTTCCAAGCAAGGATATGGCGTTCGAAGCGTTCGTCGCCTGGCTCCCCGTAGCAGAAAGGGAATCGGGCGTCAAACTAAAAAGCTTCCAGTCAGACGGGGGAGGAGAATACACCTCACAGAGGTTCAAGCAGTACTTGGCTGAAAGAGGAATCAAGCGGCTCATCTCTCTTCCCTACAGAACACCATGCGGAAACTGTTACGTGGCATGCGGCTCCCCAACCACCAATGGCCCGAAGCAATGGACCACGCCGTGATGCTGCACAACTTGCTTTCGTCAACAGCAGGGTGTAGCAGAGAGGATGAACAGGACCCTACAGAACACCATGCGGAAACTGTTACGTGGCATGCGGCTCCCCAACCACCAATGGCCCGAAGCAATGGACCACGCCGTGATGCTGCACAACTTGCTTTCGTCGTCGTCACTTCCGAACAACACATCACCGCATCTGCTGTGGACAGGAAAACTGGGCAGCACAAAAATGTTACGAGTCTTCGGCTGCATGGTATAGTACCGACCTCCATCTGCACGAGCAGGACGATTCTCCCAACGAGCACAGTGGGGACTACACCTGGGCATCGAAAAACACTACAACGCATGGAAGATTTTCGACGTCGAGACAAAAGAAACAGTGGCAGCACGTGATGTCATTTTCTATGAGCGACTCACATTGCAGACGTACCTTGCCAACCTGGACGAAAACCGAGACCCCACAGGTGGCTTCCGTGGAGACCGAGCCTTCGCTTCGGCAGAAGACGAAGCTGACTGGGACGAGCAGAACGTGGAAGGAGCCTCGGAAGAAGCCGGACCCCTCCCCTACTGCTCCGTCAACGTGCCAATGGACGACGAAAACCCACGCGAGAGCATCAACGCCGAAACCTACTACTATTTCGCTGACAACGGTTACGTTACACCTGCACAAGTCAACACCAACGAAGCAGAACGCATAGGACCCAACTTCGCACCTGATCCAGAAGCGGGAGACGAAGCTGCTTATCCCGCGGACATGTCACTCCCCCGCTACACACAGAGTGGACTCCAGATACTCAGGCTCGTCACCGCAGTCCATGGCACGGCCATTCCTAAGGAGCCTGCCACGATTCAGCAGGCTCTGGGGGGGGAACATAAAGAAAAATGGCGCGAAGCCATGGACAGGGAACTAAAGGCACTAGAGGAGCGCAATACTTGGAAAATCGTTCCCATCAGTGTGGCACGGAATAAAACCATTCTCACCGGAAAATGGGTCTTCCGCGTGAAGACGAAGGCCGACGGCACCATCGACAAATTCAAGGCACGCTGGGTCGTGCGCGGCTTCGACCAAGAACACGGGCGAGACTTCACCGAAACTTTCGCTCCGGTCAGCCGACACACTTCGCTCCGAATCCTTCTCGCGATTGCCGCCATGAAGAAAAAGAAGCTACGGCAAATCGATGTCGCGAACGCATTTCTCTACGCACCCGTTGACGCAGAAATTTTCGTGGAACTACCGCACGGTACCAACGGGGAGCCCAACCAAGTCTGTCAACTGTTGAAGTCGCTCTACGGGATCAAGCAAGCCCCGCGGCTATGGCAGCAGTACCTGCACGCTCGTCTCATTCGCATCGGCTTCAAGCAACTACCACACGATCAGGGGATGTATCGACTCACGAAAGGCGCAGATTACATCCTACTAATCGTCTACGTAGACGATCTCCTCTACATCGGCTCAACCGACAGCGTCACCACCTGGTTCGAAGGGGAGCTGCAGCAGGACCTCACGCTGACAGTCTCATCTACCGTTACACAGTACCTCGGGCTTAACATCCGGGAAGAGGAAGACGCCATCTACCTCAGCGCCGCGAAATACGCCGACACCATCGCCAAGCGCTTCGCACTCACACCAACCGCTATCTCCACACCATACCGCTACACGACAGGAAACAACAAAGAAGGCTCCGCTCTGCTCAAGCCCGTCGGCATACGCGACTACCAGAGAAAGCTGGGCTGCCTTCTCTTCGCAGCTGTCACCTGCCGCCCAGATCTATCGTACTCTGCAAGTCAACTCGCCACCTACCTCAAGAGGCCCGAAGCGGAACATCTAGCAGAACTCGACCGCGCTCTTCATTACCTCATTAGCACCCCGACGATTGGTCTAACTTATTACAAGAACGCAACTACGCCGCCTAAGTTAATCGGCTACGTCGACGCCGATCATGCTGGCGATTCCGACAACAGGCGCTCTCGCACTGGCTACATCTACCGCCTCGAACCTATCGGACCTATCTCTTGGCAGTCGAGCTAGCAGGAGTTAATCGCTCTCTCGTCAGCTGAAGCAGAATATATTGCACTCTGTTCAGCCACCAAGGAAGGACTTTACCTTCGCGAACTGCTGGAAGAAGCGAAGCTGGCTCAGTTACCCAGCTTCACTCTGTTCTGCGACAACCAGTCGGCAATTCGCATTGCCAACAAGAACGGCTTCGCAAACAGGACGAAACACATCGCCCTGTGATACTTCTTCGTGAAGGACGAGATCGAGAAAGGGAGGCTCGAGCTGTCATACTGCCCCAAGTCCGAGATGGCAGCTGACTACCTGACCAAGAAGCTCGGAAAGCAGAAGTTCGAATACTGCATGCTGCTGACTGGACAAAGCCGCGTCACCAGCAGCGACACTCCAGAAGTGCAGGGGAGTGTTGGAAACAATCAGTCTTAAGCGCCTCTGTCGTGTCGAAACACCAAGACACAAGCGAAGCAAAGCATATCGAGGCACCAGCGAGTCAACCCTCGGAGGTTGAAGTAACCGCTGGAGGTTACGCGAAAGTCAAAGGTCAGCGACCTTTGACCTGACAAATACAGCGCGACAGCAAGGACACACAACTGACTCGCTACAGAGCAGTTGCCCGAGTCGTCACTGTATCGAACCGCAACAGCAACAGTAAAACAGTTATAACCGTATCCCTTCATATTCCTTGTACTCTTATATAATCTTGTATCTCTTTGTCTTAATCAATCTACTTTGCCCTCACATACTAGCGCAAGGTGGTTCACAATACTTCATTAAACGCTTCCGCTATTACATCAGTCCTGCCCAGAGTTCATCCCTGTAAAGATCCTAGGGGCTTTTCTCAGCCCAACAAATGAGACTAGGTGGCAGGTCTGTGGACCTGCCGAAGGATAAGATGGGAATGCCTCCTTATTGCATTCCCCTTTTTTGAATCTTGTCACAATCATTAAATTTAGAAATATGTTTCTAAATTATTCATATAACAAACTGTCAAAGGTCCACTGGAGATCCCCGATTGATCCTAGGGAAGGGTTACAGGCCCGTTGGCCTGGGGGGGTATGGGCGCACTGACCCGCTACTTAACAAGCCCTTTTATCCCAGTGGTCTAGTGGCTGGGATTCTGACATGGTATCAGAGCGAAGGTCTCGGGTTCGAATCCCAGTGTATGCACTTCGGGCATCCCAGTGCGGGGGGGTGTCAGAGGTCCACTGGAGATCCCCGATTGATCCTAGGGAAGGGTTACAGGCCCGTTGGCCTGGGGGGTTATGGGCGCACTGACCCGCTACTTAACAAGCCCTTTTATCCCAGTGGTCTAGTGGCTGGGATTCTGACACAAACTGCAAGTTTTTTTTTTTTTTTTTGTAGATTATTGAACTATACGCTCACTAGTGAGCAACTGTCAGAATCGCAGCTACTAACCAATAAGATAAAATGGCTTGCTTGTGTAGCGAGTGAATGCGCCCATAACCCCCCAGGCCAACGTGCCTGTAACCCTTCCCTAGAATCAACCGGGATCTCCAGAGGACTTCTGATAGCAACATTTTTTTGGGTTGCGAAGCAACCTATTACAATCGTTATGTTCATTTTTTTTCTTCATATTTTTAAAATTAAAATATGAAATAAAAAACAATTGATTTTTTTCCAATGACTACCTTACTACACTTGTTGGTATAACGTATGTGGCTGTGTGCTCCGTCAGTGTGTTCAATTTTTGCCTACTTTATGGCTGTGTATCCTACCGTATAATGCGCATAGTAGTATGATGAACTTAAAATATGATTGCATAATGCATGAATATGATGGATTGTAGAATGCATGTTAGTATGGTGCTGCAGTATGTATGCCAGTAAATGATAGAAATGCGTGACAGTTATAAGAGCTAAACAACTAGGCTACCGCATCCCCTGCCTAGCATGGGGGGGAAGTCAATAGCCTAGCATTTAACCCATACAACTATCACATGAATACAACACAATCTGTGTATCCTAAAAAATTGATCAGTTCTATCCAAGTGAACACACTCACTGAGTGGGCAAAGAACGTTCCCGGAAATGATAGGCTGATCAAGTTTTTAAGACTCACAGACATGCATTGCTAATGCGAGTGAATGAGTATAGATGAATACACACACACACATACACACAGCCCAACTCATACCAGAACAAAGTCAAAACAATAACAATAGAAGGTGCAAAACAAGATACAACAAATATAATAATATGAATTCTGCGAATCACCACTACTCTTCCCACTTTGCAGACTGAACTTGGCTTCCTGAAATGTTCAATATGATTTTCGATGTAGAGGAAATCGGAAAGCAAAACAAGGGAGGATAGGAGAGAAACGACACTGAAAGTGAAACAGTAGCAGAAGAGAAGGCAGCGCATCACCGACGCAAGAACAAACCG